TAGGTTAAAACCCTGACCCCTGCGCGTCTGAGCGGCTCCAGAGCAGTCTCGACGAACTTGGAGAAGGTACGGGGAGCCAGCGCGTCCCCGAACTAGAGACGGCAATACCCGTAGCACCTACCCCCCACTGCGAAGCGCAGAAACAGTCTGTGTTCTGCCGCAATTGCTACATGGACGTAAGCATCCGTCAGATCTATGGAAGACATCCAGTCTCCGGTTCTGACACATTCCAGCAGCTGTTTGTGACGAGCCTGCGGAACAGACGCTTGGAATTCTACGTCATGGTGCTACACCCCCTAGGGCTACGTCAGGGGTAGCCCTAAGGGGCTACGCGCCCATTCGTAGAACAAGGTTACATTAGGTAACTAGCAAAAGGGCATGCAACCCCCCTGTGATATGCTGTGTGAGACAGAGAAAGTCCCTGGCCTTGCTTATACGACTTGTCTGCCAGTGCTTCCTCTCAGCGACCCCGCGGGGAGCAACGTCAGCCCCACCGCGTCCTCCGCGTTAGGGACTCCGCTGGACCAAGACCAGTCTTGGGCCATACCATATGGGTCAAACCCCAGGGCGAGCCTCTTGGCTCCCCTGGGGTGTGGGCCCGTCACGTGCAGGCGTAGTGAACACCGGGTTCATACGTGGGCACCGTGTGAGCTCGGACCTCTCTTTTCCCTGCTCCGAGCCCTCTCTGTCTCTGTCTGAGAGGGCTGCGGTGGGAGGAGGAATTCCCAGCGCCTGGAGCTACAGACGGAGGGGAAAAAGGCTGCGCAGGAAAGCGGTTTCGAGGGCATATTTGTATGCTTATAACATTATTTTTAGATTTGTATCAATTTAGCAAAATTAATTGACTTATACTGGGTTTGTGGAAGTAAACCGCCTTCGCATTCACTCACTTTTTGTCCTCCTTGTCCTCTGTCCTGTCCAGTCTTTTGTCCTTGTATCTCCCTAATCCCAAATGTACCTTGTACAGTTTGTGAATGTGTATCTTGTTATATGCTCTGTCCTGTAGGTGTCTTTTCTCTGATATTGTTTTGTGATTTTGATGTTGAATGTGAAGTTTCACATCGACCTGTCTAGGGACAACAGATGGAAATTAGCCTATGGCTAAAATCTTATATTTACATATTTCTATATGTTCATTACTGTTCAGTACTGTCCCTGCTTAAATAAATAAATAAAAATACGACAATTCTGCTTATATTAAGCAAAAGAATCTGCCAATGGGGTAAGACTTTTTTCCTTGTCTAGAATTCTTGTTTTAAGATTTTTTTCCTAATGTATAATGGGAAAAAAACAAGAATATACAGTATTTATTGACTAATGAAAACGTCAGATTTAAGCTAAATAGTCCTGTTATTAAAAAAAGAACAAGAATATATTTTTTTATTTTAGCAATTTTCTTGCAATAAAAAGGTCAGATTTAAGCAAAATATTCTTATTATTGGATAATTTTAGGAAATAATTCTTAAATACATTTTTGATTAATCAGAATCAGAATATTTTTTATGGCCACGTGAGTAATAAACAAAAGTTACCACTTGGAAATTGTTTTGGCAGAGAGCGTGCCACTTCGCCATTTGCGGCGCTGTGTGCAGCAAGAAACAGCAGAGAGCAATAACATACAGTTCACAGACAGTTGGATAGACACATTGTGCTTTATATAAAACAAAGATTTTTTTCTCAGGATGAGCACCTCCGACTGCCGGCCCAATGTGGCTGTCAGAGGGGGGCAGGGTCAGGGAGGGGGTGAGCCGGAAAGACAATGAGGAGTGGAGGGGAGGGAGGGAGCAAGATGGATAGGTAGAGGGAGGCGGGGGGAGCGGGATCCGAGCTGGAGACTGCAGAGTGTGAAGATTATTGTAGATTGTAGGTGTCCATGTTATCTTCGGCCTTGCCAGAGGAATGTGAGATAAGAGTGGAAAGAAGACACAGCAGGAGAAAACACATCGCCTGAGAGGGACAATATTATATGCAATGTAGCAGACCTTCGTACACAGGGGCAAATCCATGCCGGGTCAGAGAGTTCAAGCCTGGCAGACAATGTCATTCAATTCAATCAATTACATGTAGTGAAGAGGAGTGCACTGACCACTATATTGGAGAAACCAAACAAACTCTACAGAAACGACTTTACCAACATCGTAGAGAAAACTCTAGTGGGCCACAGTCGGCTGTTCATCTCCACCTCAAGGCCTCCAACCACACGGTGGATGACACAGAGGTTAAAATTCTGGCTCGGGAGAAGAATTGGTTTGAGAGAGGGGTGAAAGAAGCCATTTTTGTGAGGAAACAAAAACCTTCTCTTAACAGAGGAGGAGGGTTAAGATTTGTTTTGCCTCGCATCTATGACGACATCCTAAAAACAACGCCCTAACTTGGGACAAGGTCAGTGACATGCTAATGAGTTAGGAGGGGTGAGACCTGCACTCCACTTGAGCATCCCAGCAGACAATAGGTCTGTGACATGCTAAGGAGTTAGGGTCGTTAGCCTCAGCAGGGTCGTTAGATCTGCTCCCTTCTACATCAGACCTTAGATTGTTTATGAGTTAGTATCAGGATTAGGGTGTGGCTAACCACACCCATAGGTTATAAATCTCCAACGCGCGGTCTGAGAATTCATTCCCTGAAGAAGTCCGCTAGTTTGAGGACGAAACGTCGGGAAAACTTGCTAAGAAGTACAGATGATGGGTGAGAAACCTTCCTTTGCTTTGACTAATCCCTGTACGACTGAGGGCTTACACAAACTCATCTCTAGTGTTTTATGCCCTTCGAGTGAACGAGTTGTGAGGTCTTTTATCAACTGTTCCACTATAACAACTCTCCTTTGTCCAGACACGGCGCTCTCAACCACGACGCGGCTTAGCTCCTTGTACATCCCATAAATTTTGTTGTCCAGCAGCTCGTGAATCTTGCGAACTGCCATGCCTCCGAATTTGCGGTAGAAGAGGACCGCTCCAAACCCAAACAGGAAGATCCCCACCACCAAAATGCCAAAGATAGTCTTCCAAATCTTCAATAGACAGGACCGACAGACAGAGGGGCTGAAACTTGTTCCAGCTGTCAAGAGTATACCCCGCAGGTGAAGTCCCATCCGGGCACACGGGCTCTCCAGACCCACGCTTACGTGTTGAAAAGATAGAATCAATTGCGTTGAGGGACCAGATAATCATTTCCATAATTCTTGTTAAAGTTGTCTGTGGCAAAACTCCAGGAAAAAGACAAAAACAGGAGATAGCAGGCAGTCAGAAGCAGGAGCGTCTGAGACACGTCTTTGCTCGACGGAGGCGGCAGGAAGAAGCAAAGGATACATTTGCTAAAAAGAGCATAAAACAAGCAGCCTTTTTCTAGTTGTTGGTTTTAAGCAAAATTGGCTTAATAAGCAAAATAATATAATCAATACATATGTTTGATCAAAGAAGTGAACACAAATGCGAAGGACAGGTTCACAGGATTTATTAACAGGAAAGAAGGTTGGGCTGGTAGGGCCGGAACAGGAGCAGGAGCAGGAGCAGGAGCAGGAGCAGGAGCAGGAGCTGGAGCAGGAGCAGGAGCAGGAGCAGGAGCAGGAGCTGGAGCTGGAGCAGGAGCAGGAGCAGGAGCAGGAGCAGGAGCAGGAGCTGGAGCAGGAGCAGGAGCAGGAGTGAAGTGGCTGCAACTGGCACAAGTTTCTGAGATCAGCACAAAACATGAGATCAGACTATAATATGTAATATTAATAATATATATAATATTAATATGTACAGTCTATGGATCAGACGAGGGCTTCAAAAACTTAGGTGTTGTCTCACGATGTAGACTGAGGACCTGACAGAGGACTGAGGTGTTGTCTCAGATGTAGACTGAGGACCTGACAGAGGACTGAGGTGTTGTCTCACGATGTAGACTGAGGACCTGACAGAGGACTGAGGTGTTGTCTCAGATGTAGACTGAGGACCTGACAGAGTACTGAGGTGTTGTCTCAGATGTAGACTGAGGACCTGACAGAGGACTGAGGTTTTGTCTCACGATGTAGACTGAGGACCTGACAGAGGACTGAGGTGTTGCCTCAGATGTAGACTGATGTATACCTCTCTGGTATCTCTGGTGTCTCTCTGGTCGCTCTCTCTGGTTTCTCTCTCTAGTCTCTCTCTGGTTTCTCTCTCTAGTCTCTCTCTGGTCTCTCTCTGGTCTCTTTCTAGTCTCTCTCTACACTCTCTCTGGTCTCTCTCTTTAGTCTATCTCTAGTCTCTCTCTGGTCTCTCTCTGGTCTCTCTCTGGTCTCTTTCTAGTCTCTCTCTGGTCTCTCTCTGGTCTCTCTCTGGTCTCTCTCTGGTCTCTCTCTGGTCTCTCTCTGGTCACTCTCTGGTCCCTCTCTAGTCTCTATCTAGTCTCTCTCTGGTCTCTCTCTGGTCTCACTCTGGTCTCTCTCTAGTCTATCTCTAGTCTTCTCTCTATCTCTCTCTAGTCTCTCTCTGGTATCTCTGGTGTCTCTCTGGTCGCTCTCTCTGGTTTCTCTCTCTCTGGTATCTCTTTGGTCCCTCTCTCTGGTTTCTATCTCTAGTCTCTCTCTGGTTTCTCTCTCTAGTCTCTCTCTGGTCTCTCTCTGGTCTCTCTCTGGTTTCTCTCTAGTCTCTCTCTAGTCTATCTCTAGTTTCTCTCTGGTCTCTCTCTGGTCTCTTTCTGGTCGCTCTCTGGTCTCTCTCTGGTCTCTCTCTGGTCCCTCTCTGGTGTCTCTCTGGTCTCTCTCTGGTCTCTCTCTGGTCCCTCTCTGGTCTCTCTCAGGTCTCTCTCTGGTCCCTCTCTGGTGTCTCTCTTGTCTCTCTCTGGTCTCTCTCTGGTCCCTCTCTATGTCACATGACCCACAATAACTACAAACATTACTGATTCACTTTTATTACGGCTGTAAACGTTCTGGACACAGAGGTCATTTATTCTACTCTACTCTACTCTATTCTACTCTACTCTACTCTACTCTAAGTCCTTTCTGGTGAATATGATGTTTTTTAAATATAATTTCATCACTTCTAGACATTTAAAAGACTATAGTTTATAGAGAAACTATAGTCAGAGGTGAGGGGGGAGTCGAATGTGTCAGAGGTGAGGGGGGAGTCACATGTGTCAGAGGTGAGGGGGGAGTCACATGTGTCAGAGGTGAGGGGGGAGTCAAATGTGTCAGAGGTGAAGGGGGAGTCACATGTGTCAGAGGTGAGGAGGGAGTCACATGTGTCAGAGGTGAGGGGGGAGTCACATGTGTCAGAGGTGAGGAGGGGAGTCACATGTGTCAGAGGTGAGGGGGGAGCCACATGTGTCATAGGTGAGGAGGGGAGTCACATGTGTCAGAGGTGAGGGGGAGTCACATGTGTCAGAGGTGAGGGGGGAGTCACATGTGTCAGAGGTGAGGAGGGGAGTCACATGTGTCAGAGGTGAGGGGGGAGTCACATGTGTCAGAGGTGAGGAGAGAGTCACATGTGTCAGAGGTGAGGGGGGAGTCACATGTGTCAGAGGTGAGGAGGGGAGTCACATGTGTCAGAGGTGAGGGGGGAGCCACATGTGTCATAGGTGAGGGGGGAGTCACATGTGTCAGAGGTGAGGGGGGAGTCACATGTGTCAGAGGTGAGGGGGGAGTCACATGTGTCAGTGGTGAGGGGGGGTGTCACATGTGTCAGAGGTGAGGGGGGGAGTCACATGTGTCAGAGGTGAGGAGGGAGTCACATGTGTCATAGGTGAGGGGGGAGTCACATGTGTCAGAGGTGAGGGGGGGAGTCACATGTGTCAGAGGTGAGGGGGGGAGTCACATGTGTCAGAGGTGAGGGGGGGGAGTCACATGTGTCAGAGGTGAGGGGGGAGTCACATGTGTCAGAGGTGTGGGGGGGAGTCACATGTGTCAGGGGTGAGGGGGGAGTCACATGTGTCAGAGGTGTGGGGGGGAGTCACATGTGTCAGGGGTGAGGGGGGAGTCACATGTGTCAGAGGTGAGGGGGGGAGTCACATGTGTCAGGGGTGAGGGGGGGAGTCACATGTGTCAGGACTCTATGTAAGATTCTACATCGAACACAATCCAAGTCCAGACTCTGGTTCTGATTCCAGCCTGTACAACATGGAGCCACGAGGACCTGGCCCCGGGTCTAAACCCAGACCTGGACCCAGACCTGGACCTGCTCCCAGCTCTCAGTCTCTGAAAAGTGACCGGTCCAAAGACGATCCTCTAAACTTCAGAGAAGATGGTCCTGAAGATCAGAGGTGAGACTTGAACCCATGTCCTCCCAGAGCAGACTCTAACTTTTGTGTCGTCAGAACTTTTGTGACTTTTTGTTTTTGTTTATTTCTGTCAAATTATATTTTATTTGTTTTAAGTTCTACTTTTAACCCTTAAGCCTGGTTCCTCCTCTTCGTCCTCCATGATTGTTTACTCTGAAGCTCGGGGGAGAAATGGGTTCATGTGTGATGTGTTCGACCAAAGAGGTCAGACCCATGATTTTTTATCTCCGTGTGTGAGGTCTCACACGGAGATAAAGTCGTCTGAACCAGGCTTTAGTTATTTTTATTATACGGCTCCTCACAGCAGCAGTAGAACGCTCCATTGATTTGAATGTAATTTCAAAACGTTCTACCGGTCATTATTTTCTATAATGGACCTCTCAAAACAATAATGACTGCTGCCCTTTGGCAACGCACTCTGTGCTTGTCTTTCAAATGCGTGGATAACTCCGCAAGTAGTTCTGGCCACTCCTGAGCTAGCCACGCTCAATCAACACACTTAAATGTTAATCGGAGAATACTACATATACAGTAGATTCTTCACACACGTGCACAGACATTTTCTGAATTTTCTGGTCTTGTCTTCATGACAAAAATACTATATCTCTGCGTCAAAAATTATTGCGACAGTAGCTCAGTTGGTAGAGCATTGGCCTTAAGGCCAGAAGGTCGTGGGTTCAATTCCCACCTCTGCACCTTCTCCACCGACTCCCACTGATGACTGCTGTCGTTGTGTCCTTGGGCAAGACACTTAACCCCACTTTGCCCAAAGCCCCCACTGAAAGATCAAGGCTATGCTCACACTCAGAGAGCAGCCGTCCTCCTGTGGACTCACCACCTGCAGAGGGTCAGTGAGGGGCTGGTTCTATGAGACTTGGGTGGCATCTCTGACTGCCACCCCCCTGACCCAGAAATGGATTAAAGGGTAGAAAATGGATGAATGGATGGATGGATGGATGGATGCGTCAAAAAAGCGATCGTGAAAAACCCGGAAGTAGTTCTGGCCGCTCAATAAACGCAAATGCCAATCAATCAACGCAATGAAATATTTATCGGAGAGTGAATTATACATATCCAGTCTTAATACAAGTGCACGGAAGTTTTCAGAATTTTCTGTTTACGTTTTCATGACAACAACACTGATGTAATGCGAGAAAAGGCGATCCCGAAAAACCCGGAAGTAGATACCGGCACATTTTAAGATACCGGCACATTTTCGGACACATTTGCAGAGGATCGAATTATGGATTTAGGTTAGGTTTATGTTTGGGTCACTCACCGCCGATGTTCAGAATTCTTTGTTCAGTTTTCATGCAGTTCCAGAGAGTTCTAGTTTGGAAGTTGCCAGCCTAACTGTTGCTAGCATAGCCACGGGAAAGCCTTTGGGAACTATTTTATTTTCTGTCATTAAATAAACCTTTCGGCATTCCTAAAAGTGGACTGAAGTTTATGTTGTGTGTTTTGTTGGTATAAAGCCGTATAATAAGCGGGATAACGTATAGGGTGTTGTTTCTGCAAAAGGAGGATGAACTAAATATTTATATTTATGCAGACGCCTGAACTGGTTTCAATAATTCTTACTGACTTTGCTTCTGCCCCTTCAGGGCGGAAGCAGACCCCTCCGCTGCGCGTCGGGGTCCGCTTCGCCCTGTCGGTACTTATTTTCCGATAATGACCTGCATAATATACGTTATCCCTTACTTACTGCTCCATCCACTTGAATCTAACATTAAATATGGATTTCTATGGAAGAAAAAGCTCCTTTCTCCCAGGGAGATGGTCCTGGACTGGTCCTGGACTGGTCCTGGTCTGGTCCTGGTCTGGTCCTGGACTAGGACACAGTATGCAGAAGTATGAAACAGTCTTAATGGTTCTTCTTCTTTATAAATCTTTGTTTAAAGAGTTTCCAGTGAAATATATCATGTATGAGACAAACACTGATCTTTGAGAAGTGAAATAAAGTTTGTATCGTTCACAGAAAGTCAGTAAGAATTATTGAAACCAGTTCAGGCGTCTGCATAAATATAAATATTTAGTTCATCCTCCTTTTGCAGAAACAACAGCCTCTAAACTCACAGAGTCTGGATTCTGGTGTTTTGGACCTTTGAATGATTTTCAGGTCTGGGGACTGAGATTCTATTCCATTTATTCTGGTATCGACCTAAATCACAACAATAGTTTCTTGAATTCTCCGACACAGATCAGAGAATCAAACAGTTCAACACGAGAAACGATAAAACCATTGGTCCATAAATGTTGTAGAACAGGGTTGGCCAACCAGTCAGAGACTAAGAGCCAATTTTTTTACCGTGTTACAGCAAAGAGCCACATCATACAAATGTGCACTACATAAACATCACCCCAACCCTTACACACGCACGCGCACGTACGCACACGAGCAGACACACACACACACATGCAATCTGTCTGAACAGAGAGAGGTGTGCTCTGCTCAGACAGATGTATTGTAAATGTCATCAACATGATAATGGCAGAAGTTGACTCGTACAGTACTAAAGGGCTGGACTCGACTCTCCCTGGTTTGCGGGCGCTTCCACCGCTCGCTTTAGCCGCTCCCCGCTTTTTATTAATGGTTTGGCCCTGGTTCTAACCGGGCGAGTCGATACCAGAACAATATCACATCAGCGAACATCAATTATGATTCCGAAATGAATGCTTTCAATCTCTAACCAAGAAAAACCCAGTGTTCAGCAGAAACACAACTGTCTTTATCGAACCATGATTCACTCTGACTGCGTTTAGTAAAAGATATAAATTTGACACATAACACCAACACCACTTTAGCTGATTTAGAACCACAGACACATGCTCAGTATAAGACCAGATACTTTTGCATTTGATTGAAGACAGACACTCACCAGGCAGAGTTGAGTCTTATCTCCTGGTGTAGCTGGTGCTAGCTGGTTTTAGCATGTTAGCTGGAGTTGGCCGATGTCCGTAAATGTAATCCATTTGGTCAAACCACCTCCAGACTTTTCGGGTCTGCCTCTACTTCTGCTGCTGCGATCTTTCATTTCACGGTTGTCACTTTTAAGCTTTTTAACTTTTCTCTGCATTGTGATGTTCGTGGGAATCATTCTGCTCCGTCCTTAGTGCTAGCTCCACAAACACCTTCTGGTTTCTGGTGGAACCATCAAGCTCAGGCTGGTGTCCTCTCCTCAAACTGTTGCCCTCATCCAGCGACCAAGGAACTGTTCGTACGGACGTCATGGGTCGAGGCAACGTGTTGTTTGTTATGATATTTGCAACAGCTGAGGCAGCAGCTGCAGAGTGACTGACCAATCAGAATTGACGTTCGCCGACATCACATTGTTTTGGCGGCCCGGCTAGTGGAGTGAAGTCGGCATTTACTATGGGTCAGAACTACATAGAGAATGAATGGCAGCGCCACCACCGAGGCGTTTTTGACGCTTGTCGTGTGAAAGCCCGAGAGCCGCACGGAACCAGCCAAAGAGCCGCATGCGGCTCACGAGCCGCGGGTTGGCCACCCCTGTTGTAGAATGTCCTGGATCATCACCTCTGTCCTTTCAGTTAGATCCAGACCAGGGCTCCACAGACTCCTGCATCGGCAACAACCCTAACTCAGCACCAAGAAACCCTCCACCTCCACTCCCCCCTCGTCCACCACCCAACTCAGCCTGCCCCTCCCCTAACCCATCACCAAAAACCCATCCACCTTCAACCCCTCCCCGTCCAACTCCCAAGAACCACCCGCCTCTCCATCCTCCTCCCCCGCCTTCCCCTACCCCTCTTTTCTCTAAACACTAGGATGCACAGGGTCTCTGCTTCGCAGCCACTGGCAGTCTAGTTAGAGGAGAGACCCGGCTGGGGCCCTGTCATGAAGCCACCTGTGCCATTCCCTTAGTGATAACACAAAGAATACATAACAGAAAAACATCTGAAGTTAATCAGTCTAATCAGGAAAATCTAATTCTTGTTCCGTGTAAGAATCAGCCGACCACAACTGCTGATCCTGAAACTTTTAAACTTGCTATGCTAAATGTCAGATCTCTTTGTAACAAGTCTTTTTTAATCAATAATTTTATTTGTTCTTATAATCTAGATCTTATGTTCATGGCTGAAACATGGCTTGACCAAAATACAGAAAATGCAGTTTTAATAGAAGCATCACCACCAAATTTCAAATTTGAATCTGAAATACGGGAAAACAAAAAAGGAGGAGGCTTAGCTGCCATTTTCAGAGACCACTTTGTCTCCCATAGAATGTCTCTTGGGAAGTTTCCGTCTTTTGAATATGTGTCTTTTAAAATACAACAAAAACAATCTCCTCCAATACTTTTCGTTGTCCTATACAAGCCACCGCAGTCATGTCACAGTTTTATTGATAATTTTACAGAGTTGCTTTCAGTTGTATGCACAGATTTTGATAGTTTAGTTATTACAGGTGATTTTAATATTCATGTGGATAATGTTGATGACAGAAATGCTAAAGAGCTGAGTTCTCTTCTTGAATCTTTTGGTCTCACTCAGCATGTGAGTGGCCCCACCCACAGCAAAGGGCACACTCTAGACCTGTTAGTTACAAAGGGGGCGAACATTTATAATGTAAACGTGGTCGATGTTGCGCTTTCGGATCATTTTTGTATATTTTTTGACATGTGTTTCACTAACAAACCACCAGTGGACTCTGCAACTGTACGAAGAAGACACATAAATGAAAATACGGGTGAACTATTTATGGGAATGATAAACTTTGAGAATGCATCGTATTCTACTGTAGATGAACTGTTTAACTCTGTCACCTCTAGTGTTTTGAAAGTTCTGGACACCATCGCTCCTGTGAAGGTTAAAATAGTGAAAAATAAGCAGAAGGCGCCGTGGGCTAAAGCAGACTCGGTCAGGGCACAAAAGAGAGAGTGCCGGAGGGCCGAGCGGAAGTGGCGCAAGTCCAACCTCCAGGTTGATTACAAGATCTTCAAAGATAAGTTGTGCGAGTTTAACCAGGTGCTACGTAGTACGAGAGAAAGGTATTTTTCTGAAATGATTGAAGGCTGCAGCAACAATCTGCGTGTTCTGTTTTCAACAGTTAATAGATTAACAAACCCCCCTGTTCAGATGCCATTAGAGCTAACTTCCAAACGTAAATGTAATGAGTTTGCACATTTTTTCAATGACAAGGTTCAAGGCATCAAAAACGCCATTGTCTCCAATCCACAGATAACAATCCAACAGCCAGAAAGGCTCTTTGAGCTAACTTACTTTGCACCTGTAAATGATCAAACTGTCCAAGAGATAATCTCCAGTTTGAGCTCCTCCACATGCAGCCTGGATGTACTACCCACTAGATTTCTAAAGTCTGTTCTGAGCAGTCTGTTACCTTCACTCACACAGATAGTAAACATGTCCCTTGATTCTGGAATATTCCCAAAGGCCCTGAAAACTGCAGTCATCAGGCCCCTGCTAAAAAAGAGCAGTCTGGATGCTACGGTACTTAACAACTATCGTCCCATCTCAAATCTGCCATTTATGGGGAAAGTCCTTGAGAAAGTTGTCTACCTACAGCTTACTAGATTTCTTATAATCAACAACTCATTTGATATGTTTCAGTCCGGCTTTAGACCCCACCACAGCACTGAGACTGCTCTCGTCAAGGTTACAAATGATATCCGGCTGAACACTGACGCAGGCAAAGTCTCAATCCTAATCCTGTTAGATCTAAGTGCTGCCTTTGACACTGTCGACCATGAGATCCTCTTACAGAGACTAGAGGACTGGGTTGGCGTCGCTGGCACCGCCCTAAGTTGGTTTAGGTCTTACCTTGAAGACAGGAAGTACTTTGTGGAGATTGGAAACTGTGTCTCAGATCATATGGCCCTGACCTGTGGAGTACCACAGGGGTCGATCCTGGGACCTCTTCTGTTCAATCTCTACATGCTGCCGTTAGGTCAGTTAATACGCAGAAACAAAGTTTCCTATCATAACTATGCAGACGACACTCAGATCTATGTCTCACTGACTGCAGGAGAACATGGACCAGTGGACTCACTCCTTCACTGTATCCAACAGATCAGTGAGTGGATGCAAAACAACTTCCTTCAGCTAAACGCAGACAAAACTGAAATGATTGTCTTTGGTCCCCAGAAACAAAGAGAGAGCGTCATCTGTCACCTACAGTCTCTCTCCCTAAAACCTTCAAACAAGGTCAGAAATCTAGGGGTAATACTGGACTCAGACTTAAATTTTAATAGCCACATCAAATCAGTAACATCAGCAGCTTTTTACCATCTAAAAAACATTGCCAGGATCAAAAACATAGTGTCTAAAGCAGACCTGGAGATTCTTATCCATGCATTTGTCTCCAGTAGGTTAGACTACTGCAATGGCCTGCTCACAGGTCTGTCCAAACAGGCTGTAAAACAGCTGCAGTACATTCAAAATGCAGCAGCTCGAGTCCTGACTAGAACCAGGAAGTACGACCATATTAGTCCGGTCCTCAGGTCTCTGCACTGGCTTCCTGTGGCTCAGAGAATAGACTTTAAAACAGCTTTGCTTGTGTACAAGTCTCTCCATGGCCTCGCACCAAAATATATTAGTGACATGTTAGTCCCATATGAACCAGCCCGGACTCTGAGGAGCACAGGGACTGGACTCCTGTTAGTGCCCAGAGTCAGAACTAAACATGGGGAGGCTGCTTTTCAGATTCATGCTGCTAAAATCTGGAACAATCTTCCTGAAGATGTGAGACAGGCCTCCTCTCTGACAATGTTTAAAACCAGGTTAAAAACGGTGCTGTTTAGCTGTGCATACAACTGAGGGATTTTATATTTTTATCTTTCGTTTTAATGTTCTGTAATTATTTATGATTTTAATGCTATCTTGTTCAGCACTTTGAGTTGCCTTGTGTATGAATTGTGCTATACAAATAAACTTGCCTTGCCTTGCCTTGCCTAAAACCCACTGGGAACAGATGAGAAACCATGAGAGAGGGATCCAGGAGTCAGACTGTAGAACGAGGACTGAGGCTGTAGATCCAGGAGTCAGGCTGTAGAACGAGGACTGAGGCTGTAGATCCAGGAGTCAGACTGTAGAACGAGGACTGAGGCTGTAGATCCAGGAGTCAGACTGTAGAACGAGGACTGAGGCTGTAGATCCAGGAGTCAGGCTGTAGAACGAGGACTGAGGCTGTAGATCCAGGAGTCAGACTGTAGAACGAGGACTGAGGCTGTAGATCCAGGAGTCAGACTGTAGAACGAGGACTGAGGCTGTAGATCCAGGAGTCAGGCTGTAGAACGAGGACTGAGGCTGTAGATCCAGGAGTCAGACTGTAGAACGAGGACTGAGGCTGTAGATCCAGGAGTCAGACTGTAGAACGAGGACTGAGGCTGATACTGAGTAGAATCCCAGAGTCTGCACAGCCCACAGCACGATGGAACCACCGCCTTTTCTACTGTAGGAACTGTGTGTTTTTCTTGGAATAATGGGTTCTTATTCCTCCATAACGCCCTGTTTTAAACTGAACTGTCCTCAGGTCTAGTGTCAGACTGGGACTGGTCCTCAGGTCTACAGTCCAGGTCAGACTGGGACTGGTCCTCAGGTCTACAGTCCAGGTCAGACTGGGACTGGTCCTCAGGTCTAGAGTCCAGGTCAGACTGGGACTGGTCCTCAGGTCTAGAGTCAGACTGGGACTGGTCCTCAGGTCTAGAGTCCAGCTCAGACTGGGACTGGTCCTCAGGTCTAGAGTCCAGCTCAGACTGGGACTGGTCTCCTGCCCTGACATGTGTGAGTTATTCTGCAGACTAACACACAAACCCTGGTGATTACAGTACCCCTGGTGGAGGTCTCTTGACGACTACAGAAAACACAAGTTTCTTTTCCTGATCCAGAAACACAACAAAGACCAGTGATGGGCAGTAGCGTCGCTACTAGCTTAACTACATTTTTCAGTAGCTTGACAGTAGCGTCACTATTTACAAAACCTAGTAACTTTTCTGTAGCTAAGCTATATTATTGCTCAAGTAGCGCGGTAGCGTCCGCCAAAGCTATTTTCTCACGGACATCTCTGATGTTCATATATTACAGCATTTTCCCGCAGCATAAAACAAACATATAGAAAGACAGAATGCTGATGCGCATGCGCAGGGCTTGGTAACGACACACACACACGAACGTACGCGCACACACACACGCACACACATGCGCGCGCGCTACTGGGGGAAGCAAAAGCATGGCAGAGAGCCCAGGAGCCGCCGCGGTGGAGGAGGACCATGATAAGGACTCTCAAAGTGTTGTACCGTGGCCATACCTCCAAAAGTACGTCACTCTAGTCGAGATGAGCGAAAAGAAATATGTTTTCAGATGCCTACTCTTTGTTGTTTTTGGTGTTTTGGGCTATTGTTCAATAAATATCTACAAAATGTTAACCTTTATCTGACAGTTTATCTCAAATAAGAAGATAAGCTTTATTAATCTCACACAGGAGAAATTTACATGTCACATTTGGCATGGATAAAACACTCAAGAATTGTGCAAAAAATAAGAAATGAGCAAACATGTTAATGCAGGAAAATATTAAATTGCATGAACTGCAGTTTGTTTAATTGAAAATAGCTTCTATATAGCAAGCTACTTTTGACAGAATTTTGTAACATAGCTTGCTACATTTGTATGGGTGGTAGCTTCTGTGTAGTGAAGCTGAATTTATTGTAGAGTAGCTTGTAGCTTAGCTCACTACACAAATCAAGTAGCTTGCCCATCACTGACAAAGACACAACATGAAACATGTTTGTGAATGATGCAGACACATGACGCAGGCTGAAGACCAGGAGTCTCAGTGTGGACTGTGTTCTGGAGACTGGTTCAGGACCGTCTCTGGGAGAATGAATCCTGAGCCGTGTAAGAGGGAGGTCCTCCTCACAGATGAACTACATCCAGACTGGGGCCACATGAGACACTAACATTCAATCTACTTCATTCTGTGTCCGTCTCAAATGTCAAAACCAACTCTGCTTTAATCACAAACCTCAGCACAGTCTGAATGTTGCTCTGAAAACCTGCACTTAGATATTTGGACCGAGTCCTGCAGCTGTAGGACCAGAACACCAGTTTGGAATCCAATCAGAGCCAAAGGTTCAGAGACTGTTCTGGTATGTTTCCTGGTTCCTTCCTGGTCCTTACATCATTTGAATGTGTTCTGGGACATTCCTATGAGGCCGATGGAGCTTCTTTACATTAGAGTTTTCTGGTCTCAGAGGGACCAGCAGAGAGAGTCCATTTAGGGGTTCTCTGGTACATTCTGTACCTTGGTCACAGCTGGTCTTCAACACATGGTACCAGTTTCCATTACGTCACCACTCACTGGTACCAGATCCACAGTTTCTTTGTCTCTGGGTCTTTTCCATGGTCTTTCTTTGGACCAGGCTGAAGTCCAAGTCTGAGTTCTACTGTTCTGTTTTCTGTAAACCTTCTTGAAACATAATCCAGAGAGAATTCTTTCAACACTTACTACTGTTTGTGCAGGAAACCTGGTCTTCTGAAGATCCAACACACAACACTGTTAGAACAGACGCAAATATCATGAAACAAAGTGACTCTGGTTCTGATTCCAGCCTCTACAACATGGAGCCACGAGGACCTGGCCCCGGGTCTAAACCCAGACCTGGACCCAGACCTGGACCTGCTCCCAGCTCTCAGTCTCTGAAAAGTGACCGGTCCAAAGACTTTCCTCTAAACTTCAGAGAAGATGGTCCTGAAGATCAGAGGTGAGACTTGAACCCATGTCCTCCCAGAGCAGACTCTAACTTTTGTGTCGTCAGAACTTTTGTGACTTTTTGTTTTTGTTTATTTCTGTCAAATTATATTTTATTTGTTTTAAGTTCTACTTTTAACCCTTAAGCCTGGTTCCTCCTCTTCGTCCTCCATGATTGTTTACTCTGAAGCTCGGGGGAGAAATGGGTTCATGTGTGATGTGTTCGACCAAAGAGGTCAGACCCATGATTTTTTATCTCCGTGTGTGAGGTCTCACACGGAGATAAAGTCGTCTGAACCAGGCTTTAGTTATTTTTACTGCTCCATCCACTTGAATCTAACATTAAATATGGATTTCTATGGAAGAAAAAGCTCCTTTCTCCCAGGGAGATGGTCCTGGACTGACCCTGGACTGGTCCTGGACTGGTCCTGGACTGGTCCTGGTCTGGTCCTGGTCTGGTCCTGGACTAGGACACAGTATGCAGAAGTATGAAACAGTCTTAATGGTTCTTCTTCTTTATAAATCTTTGTTTAAAGAGTTTCCAGTGAAATATATCATGTATGAGACAAACACTGATCTTTGAGAAGTGAAATAAAGTTTTTATCATTCACAGAAAGTCAGTAAGAATTATTGAAACCAGTTCAGGCGTCTGCATAAATATAAATATTTAGTTCATCCTCCTTTTGCAGAAACAACAGCCTCTAAACTCACAGAGTCTGGATTCTGGTGTTTTGGACCTTTGAATGATTTTCAGGTCTGGGGACTGAGATTCTATTCCATTTATTCTGGTATCGACCTAAATCACAACAATAGTTTCTTGAATTCTCCGACACAGATCAGAGAATCAAACAGTTCAACACGAGAAACGATAAAACCATTGGTCCATAAATGTTGTAGAATGTCCTGGATCATCACCTCTGTCCTTTCAGTTAGATCCAGACCAGGGCTCCACAGACTCCTGCATCGGCAACAACTCTAAAACCCACTGGGAACAGATGAGAAACCATGAGAGAGGGATCCAGGAGTCAGACTGTAGAACGAGGACTGAGGCTGTAGATCCAGGAGTCAGACTGTAGAACGAGGACTGAGGCTGTAGATCCAGGAGTCAGGCTGTAGAACGAGGACTGAGGCTGTAGATCCAGGAGTCAGGCTGTAGAACGAGGACTGAGGCTGTAGATCCAGGAGTCAGGCTGTAGAACGAAGACTGAGGCTGTAGATCCAGGAGTCAGACTGTAGAACGAGGACTGAGGCTGTAGACCCAGGAGTCAGACTGTAGAACGAAGACTGAGGCTGTAGATCCAGGAGTCAGACTGTAGAACGAGGACTGAGGCTGTAGATCCAGGAGTCAGGCTGTAGAACGAGGACTGAGGCTGTAGATCCAGGAGTCAGGCTGTAGAACGAGGACTGAGGCTGTAGATCCAGGAGTCAGACTGTAGAACGAGGACTGAGGCTGTAGATCCAGGAGTCAGACTGTAGAACGAGGACTGAGGCTGTAGATCCAGGAGTCAGGCTGTAGAACGAGGACTGAGGCTGTAGATCCAGGAGTCAGGCTGTAGAACGAGGACTGAGGCTGTAGATCCAGGAGTCAGGCTGTAGAACGAGGACTGAGGCTGTAGATCCAGGAGTCAGACTGTAGAACGAGGACTGAGGCTGTAGACCCAGGAGTCAGACTGTAGAACGAGGACTGAGGCTGTAGATCCAGGAGTCAGACTGTAGAACGAGGACTGAGGCTGTAGACCCAGGAGTCAGACTGTAGAACGAGGACTGAGGCTGTAGATCCAGGAGTCAGACTGTAGAACGAGGACTGAGGCTGTAGATCCAGGAGTCAGGCTGTAGAACGAGGACTGAGGCTGTAGATCCAGGAGTCAGACTGTAGAACGAGGACTGAGGCTGTAGATCCAGGAGTCAGACTGTAGAACGAGGACTGAGGCTGTAGATCCAGGAGTCAGGCTGTAGAACGAGGACTGAGGCTGTAGATCCAGGAGTCAGGCTGTAGAACGAGGACTAGGCTGTAGATCCAGGAGTCAGACTGTAGAACGAGGACTGAGGCTGTAGATCCAGGAGTCAGGCTGTAGAACGAGGACTGAGGCTGTAGATCCAGGAGTCAGACTGTAGAACGAGGACTGAGGCTGTAGATCCAGGAGTCAGACTGTAGAACGAGGACTGAGGCTGTAGATCCAGGAGTCAGGCTGTAGAACGAGGACTGAGGCTGTAGATCCAGGAGTCAGACTGTAGAACGAGGACTGAGGCTGTAGATCCAGGAGTCAGACTGTAGAACGAGGACTAGGCTGTAGATCCAGGAGTCAGACTGTAGAACGAGGACTGAGGCTGTAGATCCAGGAGTCAGACTGTAGAACGAGGACTAGGCTGTAGATCCAGGAGTCAGACTGTAGAACGAGGACTGAGGCTGTAGATCCAGGAGTCAGACTGTAGAACGAGGACTGAGGCTGTAGATCCAGGTGTCAGACTGTAGAACGAGGACTGAGGCTGTATATACAGGAGTCAGACTGTAGAACGAGGACTGAGGCTGTAGATCCAGGAGTCAGGCTGTAGAACGAGGACTGAGGCTGTAGATCCAGGAGTCAGACTGTAGAACGAGGACTAGGCTGTAGATCCAGGAGTCAGACTGTAGAACGAGGACTGAGGCTGTAGATCCAGGAGTCAGACTGTAGAACGAGGACTGAGGCTGTAGATCCAGGAGTCAGACTGTAGAACGAGGACTGAGGCTGTAGATCCAGGAGTCAGACTGTAGAACGAGGACTGAGGCTGTAGATCCAGGAGTCAGACTGTAGAACGAGGACTGAGGCTGTAGATCCAGGGGTCAGGCTGTAGAACGAGGACTGAGGCTGTAGATCCAGGAGTCAGACTGTAGAACGAGGACTGAGGCTGTAGATCCAGGAGTCAGACTGTAGAACGAGGACTGAGGCTGTAGATCCAGGAGTCAGACTGTAGAACGAGGACTGAGGCTGTAGATCCAGGGGTCAGGCTGTAGAACGAGGACTGAGGCTGTAGATCCAGGAGTCAGACTGTAGAACGAGGACTGAGGCTGTAGATCCAGGGGTCAGACTGTAGAACGAGGACTGAGGCTGTATATCCAGGAGTCAGACTGTAGAACGAGGACTGAGGCTGTAGATCCAGGAGTCAGACTGTAGAACGAGGACTGAGGCTGTAGATCCAGGAGTCAGGCTGTAGAACGAGGACTGAGGCTGTAGATCCAGGAGTCAGACTGTAGAACGAGGACTGAGGCTGTAGATCCAGGACCAGGAGTCAGACTGTAGAACGAGGACTGAGGCTGTAGATCCAGGAGTCAGACTGTAGAACGAGGACAAAGGCTGTAGATCCAGGAGTCAGACTGTAGAACAAGGACAAAGGCTGTAGATCCAGGAGTCAGACTGTAGAACGAGGACTGAGGCTGTAGATCCAGGAGTCAGACTGTAGAACGAGGACTGAGGCTGTAGATCCAGGAGTCAGACTGTAGAACGAGGACTGAGGCTGTAGATCCAGGAGTCAGACTTTAGAACGAGGACTGAGGCTGTAGATCCAGGAGTCAGACTGTAGAACGAGGACTGAGGCTGTAGATCCAGGAGTCAGACTGTAGAACGAGGACTGAGGCTGTAGATCCAGGAGTCAGACTGTAGAACGAGGACTGAGGCTGTAGATCCAGGAGTCAGACTGTAGAACGAGGACTGAGGCTGTAGATCCAGGAGTCAGGCTGTAGAACAAAGCCTCAGTCTGCAGTTTTCCCAGACTGAGGAAGAGGAGAAAGGAGGAAGAGTAAGGGTGGCTACGAGGGGCAGGTTATCGTCTGATTTATGAGCCTCCTCCAAACAAACGTGGTTCTTATCAGTGAAGTGTCAGTGTCTGGATGGACACAAAGACTGTGTTCACTTTAAGGATTTTTAGCGTTTCTGATGTCTTTGATTTAATGAATAGTCATTTCCCTAGAGTCAGACTAGGACTGGTCCTCAGGTCTAGAGTCAGACTGAGACTGGTCCTCAGGTCTAGATTCAGACTGGGACTGGTCCTCAGGTCTAGAGTCAGACTGGGACTGGTCCTCGGGTCTAGAGTCAGACTGGGACTGGTCCTCAGGTCTAGAGTCCAGGTCAGACTGGGACTGGTCCTCAGGTCTACAGTCCAGGTCAGACTGGGACTAGTCCTCAGGTCTAGAGTCCAGGACAGACTGGGACTAGTCCTCAGGTCTAGAGTCCAGGTCAGACTGGGACTAGTCCTCAGGTCTAGAGTCCAGGTCAGACTGGGACTGGTCCTCAGGTCTACAGTCCAGGTCAGACTGGGACTGGTCCTCAGGTCTACAGTCCAGGTCAGACTGGGACTGGTCCTCAGGTCTAGAGTCCAGGTCAGACTGGGACTGGTCCTCAGGTCTAAGGTTCAGGTCAGACTGGGACTGGTCCTCAGGTCTAGAGTCCAGGTCAGACTGGGACTGGTCCTCAGGTCTGGAGTCCAGGTCAGACCGGGACTGGTCCTCAGGTCTAGAGTCAGACTGGGACTGGTCCTCAGGTCTAGAGTCCAGGTCAGACTGGGACTGGTCTCCTGCCCTGACATGTGTGAGTTATTCTGCAGACTAACACACAAACCCTGGTGATTACAGTACCCCTGGTGGAGGTCTCTTGACGACTACAGAAAACACAAGTTTCTTTTCCTGATCCAGAAACACAACAAAGACACAACATGAAACATGTTTGTGAATGATGCAGACACATGACGCAGGCTGAAGACCAGGAGTCTCAGTGTGGACTGTGTTCTGGAGACTGGTTCAGGACCGTCTCTGGGAGAATGAATCCTGAGCCGTGTAAGAGGGAGGTCCTCCTCACAGATGAACTACATCCAGACTGGGGCCACATGAGACACTAACATTCAATCTACTTCATTCTGTGTCCGTCTCAAATGTCAAAACCAACTCTGCTTTAATCACAAACCTCAGCACAGTCTGAATGTTGCTCTGAAAACCTGCACTTAGATATTTGGACCGAGTCCTGCAGCTGTAGGACCAGAACACCAGTTTGGAATCCAATCAGAGCCAAAGGTTCAGAGACTGTTGTATCTGGTATGTTTCCTGGTTCCTTCCTGGTCCTTACATCATTTGAATGTGTTCTGGGACATTCCTATGAGGCCGATGGAGCTTCTTTACATTAGAGTTTCTGGTCTCAGAGGGACCAGCAGAGAGAGTCTATTTAGGGGTCCCCTGGTACATTCTGTACCTGGGTCACAGCTGGTCTTCAACACATGGTACCAGTTTCCATTACGTCACCTCTCACTGGTACCAGATCCACAGTTTCTTTGTCTCTGGGTCTTTTCCATGGTCTTTCTTTGGACCAGGCTGAAGTCCAAGTCTGAGTTCTACTGTTCTGTTTTCTGTAAACCTTCTTGAAACATAATCCAGAGAGAATTCTTTCAACACTTACTACTGTTTGTGCAGGAAACCTGGTCTTCTGAAGATCCAACACACAACACTGTTAGAACAGACGCAAATATCATGAAACAAAGTGACTCTGGTTCTGATTCCAGCCTCTACAACATGGACCCACGAGGACCTGGGTCTAAACCCAGACCTGGACCCAGACCTGGACCTGCTCCCAGCTCTCAGTCTCTGAAAAGTGACCGGTCCAAAGACTTTCCTCCAAACTTCAGAGAAGATGGTCCTGAAGATCAGAGGTGAGACTTGAACCCATGTTGTTAAGACAGTGCTGTGTCTCGTCCTTCATCAAAGACTGTGGTTCTGTGGCACTTTGTAAATAAACAGCATGAATGTAGAATCTACTGAAGACAGCAGGAGCGGGTCTTCACACTGAGGGAAAGAGAAGCTTCTGAGTCCTTCTTCACAGGGACAAACATCTCTGTGGAGGATGTGTTTCCTTCAGGACCTGAGGCTGGAGCAGTGGAGGACCCTGCAGTAAAGATAAATGTCTTTGTTGTGGATCAGATGGAACAGTTGCAGACGCTGGTTTCAAAGCCTTCTCTCTGGAGCCGCTTTCAGAGCCTGGATTGGCTTCATGTGGAAGACTGAATGAGACAGAATATATTTGCAGATCTGAGATCAGCTCCGTGTGAACGTGGCCAAAGAGCTTTCTGACAGATCTGTTGAAGCTCACTCACATTTGTTAGGGCACTTTTTATCAACACATGTTGACACCAAGACCACAATGCAACAGGAGAAAGTGATGACTTTTTATATTATAGCTCTCAGAAAGGGCTAACGACAGGCACCGGGCATGACTCGTGTGTGTCATATTTTTAATGTTGTTATTTAAACAAATGTTGCACCACAGCCTGCTCAGTAGCGTATGGGATATACACAGTGGCTGAGTGGTTAGCACTCTCGCTTCTCAGCAAGAAGGTCCTGGGTTCGAATCCTGGTCAGAACAGGGCCTTTCTGAGTGGAGTTTGCATGTTATACCCGTGTCTGCTCCGGTGACCTCCTGTCCTGGCCCCTCCCATCTCTGTTTGGAGCGACAGACTAATGCCCACAAATGTAAACCGCTTTGACTCTGGTCTGAGAAAGGCAGTAAATGAATGAGGATTACTTACTTACACGGAGACAATGAGATTAGCGGAACTCGCCCATATTTGGGCATCGTCTGGTCCTCCCGGTTCTGCGCAGTGGACGAGCTCCCATGATGCTTTGCACCAAATACGCGTGTGTGGCTCTCATGCACGTGCACAGAGGGGCTCGGCCGCTCTGACCAATCAGAGCTGATCAGAGCAGAGTCAGAGCAGAGTCAGAGCCTGAAGGAAACGAGCAGAGTTTGTGGCTCTAAAGTGTGGATTTAAAGAAAACCAAAGGATTTAAGAAGAAAAGAATTCAGGATGACAAGGGACACTAAAATCTCCACAGAATCCGATATTTCTGAAAGCTGTAGGTTCTCTGTCAGGTTCTCTGTCAGGTTCTCTGTCAGGTTCTCTGTCAGGTTCTCTGTCAGGTTCTGTCAGGTTCTCTGTCAGGTTCTCTGTCAGGTTCTCTGTCAGCTGAGGTGCCGCTGTTTTAGTTTACATTGAGTTCTATGGAGAACATTTCTTTGAGCGAGGAGCCTGTGTGAGTGTTTTTACCGTACTAGCGGACAAATCTATTGATTCAGTCCTGTCCATGGGTTTTCTGCGGTTCCTACATCCCCGTGATAAGTGACCACTCTGCCCACACTTAAAGCAATGATCACACGTCTCTTCTTGATTGCGCTCCTGGCAGTTTTTGCAGCCCTTCTTTTTGTTAGGACGATTCTGAGGGGTAGGTCTTTTTGATTCATGGATAGAACTTTTTATTTCAGCGATTTCCCCTTTGAGTTGGCTGATAACATCCTAACAGTCCCTACGAGACATTGTGGGTTGTGCTTTGACCTTAGAGGCTACAGGGGACGACAGTTCACGGCCACTGGCTGCACCTATCTCTTCTTCCAGCACTGTTTGAGATTCTGCTTTTACTTCTCTGATTCTTGGTTCCTTGCTGTGTTTGCGAAACTTTTGTTGCCTCTCCCACTCTAAGCTTGCTGCTTCATTTATCTTGGCAATGAGGACATCATCAGTAACGGCTGTATCATCAAGGCATGTTTTGATTTGATATTTCACATTATCGTTTATGAGTCCTGTACCCACTGCTCTGAGGAATTTTCTTTGTACAAGGTCACTACTGTAATGTTCTTCTGCCCCTGGCTCTCTCGATGAAGCAAAGAGACGCTCTTTTAACTCAATAGCTCTGAATAAAAAGTTCTGTGGGGACTCATTACACTCTTGGGTGATATTTATCAGTCTATGATAGAGATCTGTTGAGCTATCTTCTTTGTAATGACCTTTGAGGATGGTACGGAGTTGAGATAGAGTTAAATCTGTTTTTATCTCTAACATGTCACGGAGACTCAATCCAGGGCTTACAGCTCTGATCACAGCTTCCACTATCTCAGCTTCGCTGTGTCCTTTTCTCAGTCCCATTTCGATCTGATGAATCAGGTTAGAGTATGACAACTTGTCCTTTTGACCTCTTTCTCCAATTTGACCATTGATTTTGAATTCTCTGCGAATTATGAACTCAGGTAACTGGGCTGGAGTAGTTAACCTGGGGCAGGGGATGGGCTGGCACTTGGTGTGAATTTAGCCATTTCTTCCTCTAGCTTTTGTGCTGCCGTTTGAAATGTTAACTGGAGGGAAGCATACTGTTCCTTTAAACTGGCCATCACTGCTGCATCTGGATTGGGATTCTCTATTGCAGGCAGTGTTTTGTCAGCCTTCCCTTTTAGTTCGTGTGCATATGTTAACAGCTGAGAAAGAAATTCACGTGCCACATCCACCTCCTCATCTTCAATGTTCCTTTCAACTACTTCACTTATCATTCTGATCAGCGAGTGCTTTGTTTTCAGTTTTGCAGTTGAGATTTTGCATTGCTCGCAGACATTGCGAAGTTGCTCACAGTTCAGTTGTACCAAGATTTCACTGAGCTGGTCTTGCAGCCCCTCAAACTCTACTTCTTCCATCTCCGTTCACTGTAGCACCGCTGATCCCACTTCTGACACCAGATTTTGTTGCACACTTGAATAATCAAACTCAAGGTGGTGCAGTAGTTGACTTTTTTTATTTCTGCAAAACAATAAACATTGCGTTAACTCGCGTATCTGCTGTGTTTTCTGCCATACTCATGCAGAACTGCGACTCTAACAAATAGCCACAAAATCATAAAAACAAATACATACAAAACGAAATTATGTCATATATATGCCTTTTTTTGTTGGTACAAATTAGATTCTATCAGTATTGTTGGTGTTAATACACACTCATTGTAATTCCCCAAATCTCCGCTAGCTTACTCCAGTTAGCATTGCAACTCTATACAGCTAACATGTACAAAATAGCTCGAAATTAACAATCTGGTGGAAACAATTGGCCTAAACTGTCCCCTTAGCAACTAAACAATGTTCTCTATCCCTGCATAATACTTTTACTGTCCCACTTTACCTGCAAAACAATAAACATTGCGTTAACTCGCGTATCTGCTGTGTTTTCTGCCATACTCATGCAGAACTGCGACTCTGGGCACAGACACGAGGTACAGGTGGAGTGGCGCCGCCTTGTGGTCGGGAGCAGGAACTACACCAAAGCGATCTAATACATTTTTACCATATTTATGACTTTTAACTGAGAATAATTATATGAAATGAAAGAAAAAATATATATAACAAACAGTATGAAATAAAAATAAATTGGGGGGGGGGTCTAATATTCACTATGCCCACATACTGCATCACATAACCAAAGTGCGTCTGCTGCACCCAATAATCCAGGTGCTGTTTCTAATGTGACTATGACTGTGCCTCCATTTAATGCCAACCCACCATTTGTGCACCAATTGTACAGAAAAGAACTAAAGATAATGGGACAGATTGGTGAACCACATCAAAAAGACAAACTTGGATATTCCAGTTTGGAGAGGCAAATCCAGAAAGCACTAAATAAAGGTTACAGTGAGTCGGACATTGTGGATGCTGTAATTCATGCTATTACACCAGGAATAAAATTAAAAAGTTATCTTGAAACCAGAGTGGACTTACCTCTTAGTGCTTTAA